TAATCCCAAACAAATAAAAACAAAATATTTCCACCACTAAATAGAGACATTTTCCCATCATCCATTCACATTCACAGAAGAAAACTACAAATCAGTCAATAACAACCAAAATCGGAATTTCCCAAAAAGAAAATGACTTTCTGGGCGACCAAACACAAGGTCAAGAAAAAGCGCATACCTTGAGCAATCCCAAGACCTTGGAGACCTCCTCGCCGATCAACCTCTTCTTCAAATCCTCGGAGTACATCAACACCACGGTCTCCACGTAAACCTCAACGTCGTCGCAATCGCTGATCTCCACCGAGTGGGCGACGCCGCGCTCTCGCCGGAGCTTATCGGCGAAGAACCGGCTCTTGGAAGAGAGAACGCTCCCGTGGACGTCCATGGAAACCCTAAACCCGTCCTTGGAGACAACCGTGAGCCTCACGTCGCTGGAGGATGAGCCGCTCCGGAACGGTGCCTTGTCGAGGAGCTTCGCGACCCTCTCGTGGAGCTTCCGCCGCTTGTCGTCGGAGAGCCTCGACTCGCGGTGCTGCTCCTCCGACATCATGTCGTATAGCGTCTGGTTGTGAGCGGCGTGAGAGTTCGCCGGCGACGGCGATAACGGCGGCGGTGAGGAGAGGGTTTTGGAAGGCGGCGACAATGGCGAGTACAGCCTGGAGATGGATCTCGAGGGAGAGAACGAGAGGGTACGGTCCGATATGAAGCCCTGCTTTATCATCGCCGAGACTTCTCTTGATTTCAGCGAGTTCTCGGCCGCCATTGAACCTGGAATTGAGGTTTTTGGTATGGAAATTAGTAGAGAGTGAGATCAAGACGGGCAAGAACTGATATTTTCTCGGGAAATTTGGGAAAGAAACTAAACTTTCTAGAGATTGAATTGACAAAATTGAGTGAAGAAAGATTCCAAGTTTTGCTGAGAAAGTGGGAAAAAATGATCAAGTCCAGTGAAAAACTGAAAATATTTCCAAAGTAAGAAGGAAAAAGGTGGGAATCCAAGAAAGGAAAGGGAAAAAAAATGGGAAAATTTGACTGAGAGAGCTTTCAGCTCTGGTTTTGCACCAATAATAATGATTAGAATCCTAAAAAAAACGGTTCTTCTAGGAGGGATGAAAATAAATAACTATTGATAATTTATTCTTTCTTATTCTAACTTTAGCTTGGAGGGAATATTGTTAAATGCTTCCACATGCACATACACTAGTGAAATTGCTTTCTCTAATTAATGTGTAAGAGGACCCAATTTGTGCATCACCTCATTTGTGCCACTTGAGTTTGTAAAATTATGGCAACTCATAAAATCCATTTGGTGCTAGATCTTTCTTTCTACAGTGATTGTAAAATTTCAACTAAACAAAGGTATCACTTTTCTTTTTCCTTACATTCCTATTTTATTACTTTTACTGTTCTTATTACTATTCTCCCGCTCCAACCAAGCACTTCGTTAGCTTTTTAGTAGTCCACTATGTCTGAAAAAATTTGGGGGCTTGTTTTGTTCTTTTCTCTTTTTGAGGGACTTTTGGGGTTTTTTTTTTTTTTAGTTAATGGGTTTTATTTATTAATTTTGCATCAGAGTTAGAAGAGTAGGTTGGAGATCCTTTCCACTAGGATACAAAGTGATGAAATCAATGTGATGGGAAATAGGTTTTAACTCTTTTTAAGATGCAAGATCCAATAATTTTTGTCCTTAATTAATTATACAATAATGATTTTACTGCAGAGGGAACATAGAAAATGGCAGCTAGTGGGATGTATGTCGTTTGAGCATATATATATATATATATATATATGTATATATAGAGAGAGAAAGAGAGGAGAGAGGTCACATTCTCATTCAATTCACATGCATCACCAATTTGCTGTGGCTAATCTTATCGGAGTCACTGCTTTCAAAGTAATGATTGTGCCTATTCCTTTCATAACTCAGAGTTTTTAGTTTTTAGTGTTTCAGAACTGATCAATAGGGAAACAGATGTGACTCTCTCTGGGATCTTCTTCTCAATAATATCGGTGGAAACTAGAGTGTCCAGTACATGTGAGCTGCCTTTGCCTTGCCCTAGGGCAAAAGACAGAATCACTATTTAAAGCCTTTACAGGTATGACAAATTATTGTTAAGTTTTGTCATTTATTAATAGGGACTTTACCAATACAAATGTTAAAAAGTGTAAGTGTAAAGCGCAGTTCAGTTCGTTAATTTAAATTTTTAATTTGAGGTGAGATATAATGTTGTGTGAAAATTTTTTACTATAACAAAAAAATTAAATGTGACTATTTCTTAAAGCTTTTTACTGTAGTAAAACTCGAATTCTAAACTCGAATCAGCAAAAAGAACGGGACCAAAAGCATTAGCGGAGTAGGAGGAAAGAAAGCAACTATAGCTTTTAAAGCCCTTATAAAGGTCTACATCGACCCTATAGTTGTAGAACAATTTTTTCCATTAATGTTGCAAACATGTTGCATAGAATATTTGTGACATATTGATAAGATATGATCAATGTCGGCAGTAATTAGTTCATATATAGTTTTTTTTTTTTTCTACATTGTCGGAAACGGTTTGTTAATATTTTATAAAAACATAGACAGAAGCATCTATGATATTGGAAGATTATTACTAGCTAATGTTTCTGTTGTTTTTGTTGTTTTTCTTTATTTATAATGGCATATGTCAACTTTTGTTAATCCAAACCTGTTATGCGATCCTCCCCTTAATATATATATATATATATAAAAATTGCTGAAGACTATCCTTTTAGTTGGTTTTTACACTAGTCTTGCATAGAATTGGTCCCTAATCTCATTTTTATTTCCTTTAATACTAACGCGTATTTGACCCCGGATCTCATTTTACTAATACAGAATCACCTGAAACTGTACAGAAGTTTTGCATGGAAACTATGTACATTACGTAAACAAAAAAGCCTCTTTCCAAATGGTCTTTTAAAGCAAAACAGCTTACCCATGTTTTTTTTCTCGAAAAAATAAAAAAAAAATTACTACCTAGGACTGATTAATATATTATTATTTTATTCTAAAATAAGCTAATGTCCCGTTTATTTCACCGATTCGAGTTTATAATTCGAGTTTTGCTACAGTAAAAAGCTCTCAGAAACAGTCACATCTAACTTTTTATTATAGTAAAAAATTCTCATATAAAATCATATCTTAACTCAAATTAAAAATCGGATCAGTAAACTAAATGGTGGAGAAATTTGACAAAATCATACGACTTTGTAGCAAGATGTAAAGGAATGTAGTCCAGCATGCATGTAGGCGAAACCATAGCCACCCAATTAAGAGTCAGAGAGAGACGCATTTATTAGTACGGTTTTTGTATGTCGGCAGCACAGCACTTGCATATTAAAATCTTCGCTGCACTCCACAAGTCGCATCTATATATATGTACAACAACATGTTTGTGCCACTTTTTTTCTTTTATAATTACCACGCCATTATTATTGATATACCCAAGCATGATAATGTTGATATTAATTTTGAGCAATAGTTGATCTTTCATGATTTTACATGCTTCAACATGGTATTTGTATATTTGTTCATCTTAAAAAGTACACACAAACATGATACTGATTTTTTTCTTTTTTTGTTTTTGTTTTTAATTGGTCAAGGGAAGCTCCGAAAATATCTAGACATACTTCAAAGAGCAACACATGGAGGTTGGAGAATCTCTCCAAGACAATACTACGACCTCGTTCACTTTGCGGATTCGAGTTTTCAATTCGAGTTGAGATGTAACATTTGCTGAGAGTTTTTCACTGTAACAGAAAAAGTTAGACGTGACATTTTCTGAGAGCTTTTTACTGTAAAAACCTAAAACTGAAAACTCAAATCAGTGAAGTGAATGAAACCTACACATTAATAGAAAATGGGTCGTGTCGTGAGATTTACAAATGAGATCCACTTTTTATTATTTACGATACTCAACGTGGGCAATGCTCCAAGCGTTTCTCTTTTGGGATGTCTTTCATTGAGTTTTACGGGTAAAAATATCAATTCCTCGCAATATGTATGCGGTTTTGTTCTTTTTTCTATCAACTGTAACTCTAGAAGAAGATAAGCCACAAGGCACAAACCCAATTAGTTTGCTAGTGAAAGAATGTTGATCAATTATATATGCTCGAATGATAGCTTTTTTTTTATGGAATACTGTGCTCGTGATGTTTAGTTTACGGATTCATAACCATTCTCGGTTTACGTGTGTTTTTTTTTTAGAAAAAATACTGTAAACCATTATTCGAACCATGTCACGAATCTTCATACCAAACATCTAGTTATACAAAATAATGTGATTAATTAGAATTAATATACATGCATGCATGTTATATCCAGATCAAAAAACTAAAGCAGACCAGATTATTATTAATTAAACTAGGAAACTTCCAGAGTTGCAAACAAATATAGATTACAAACTATTGCACGTGGTAAAGACCACAGAAGGACATGCTCAAAAACCTCAATTTCCTAAGCAGAAAAAATCAATAAAAGCCACAAGGCTAAGCTGTTGACCTTGCCATTAATCATCCAACGCCACCAAAATCAGATCAGATTTCTGTTCCATATATTGAGAATTTCTCAGGACCATCCCATCATGATTTTGCTAAGAAATGCAGTTCATGTTCATTAATTAACCTGCAGCAGAAAAGGGAAAAAAATAAATTTTTCTTGAAGAGACATGTGTTCTCAATATAAGAATGTGGATAAAATGGTAAAAATACATACTTCTTAGAAGATATTTGTTTGGAGGTCCTCCAACTCTGGGTCCACAGTTTTGTCTCCCTTTTCAGCTTCAGTTGTCTCAAAGATAGGAGCCTCAAGCTTAGGAGGTTTCTGCACAATATTTTGATGATTTTGGTGAAAAAAAATACGAATATGTATAAACTATAAACGGAGAATTCTATGCTAACGTATGAAAAAAAAGGAAAAAATTTCATTTTGGTACCCTCTGTTATATCAAAATTTGAATTTAGTACTATCTGTTTTTAAAAATTTTATGCCGGTACCTCGACCTTTTAAAAAAAAAAAAATTGGTATCTCATAGCTATTTTTTAGGATACGGAAAGACAAAATTGTCTCTATTGTAAAAACTAATCTGTTGACCAGAATTTTGAAAAAAAAAAAAAAAAAGCAAAATAAAAAGTTCAACGTCTATTTCACACTAACTCCCAAAAAAAAAAAAAAAAAAAAAAAAAAAAAAAAAAAAAAAAAAAAAAAAAAACCTCAAAGTTTAAAAAATGAACCTCATTTTTACATTAACCCTAAACTAAACAGAATATAAAAGCAAAAACCCATGCACACAACGTTTAAAACAATTTTGGTCTACAAATGAATTTTTACAATAAGGGTAATTTTGTCTTTTTGCGTCCTAAAAAATGGCTCCGAGATACTAAAATAATAAGGACCAGCATGAAATTTTCAAAAATAGAGATACTAAACTCAAATTTTGATATAACAGAGGGTACCAAAATGAAATTTTTCAAAAAAACAAAATCTTTTTGAACAATCAAATCTTTATCAAATTCCATTAAATTGTTATATATTTTTTAATCTAACATAATTTTAATGTGATCTGATGATTTTTAATTTTGTCTCGTATTTTTTTTTTTTTTTGTATATATATCTTTTGTAGAAATCTCCAATGTGTATACACATTATATAGGACTCTAATTAAGTAATTGTAGTTAAGTTGCAAGTCTTTGGTGTTACCATGCAGCGAACTAGAGCCCAGTTGATACCACGGAAGAAAGGGTGTCGTTTAAGTTCATTAGCCCCTTCTCTTGAACCCAATCTGTTTTTGGGATCTCTATGCAATAACCTATACATTAGTTGTTTTGCTTGAAGACTTGCCTGCACAAAACCACAACATAATATTAATTCCTTAATGCTCAAAACTCAACTTCTATAATGTCATATGTTTT